CGCCCCCCCCCCCCCCCCCCCCGCCCCAGTGAGCCTCCTCCTTCATGCTGCTTTTCAGGATGAAGCTTGGTTCATGCTAGAACCCGGAAGATGGAGAGCTGAGTGCTTTGGTCACATTTTGAAATGCTGACATATCGAAATTAAAACAACCTCTCTTCTTCCCCATGGCATTTTATTACTCCAGAACAGCTGCGTGTAATTTTCCAGAGCGCTATTCTATTCCAGATAGAAATTAAAAATGGAAAGCAGAAGTAACAAAGAAAACACATGAGTCGATTTATGTAACATCATGCCTGGAAGAAAAATTAGTATCTTCTAAATAAATGGCAGAAAAAACAATACATGGGTATTTAAAAATCAGTCGTCTGGAAGCCAGTCATCTAGAATCAGTGGTCAGATTCCTATTTCTGTTTTGAAGGTACCTGGGGTTAAGATTCAAAGTGTTTATTGTCATATGTACAATACAAATACACGAAATGCCAAGGTACTATATAATAGGAAAAATAGAAAATAAATACTTTAAAGTGTAATGTGCAAAAATTACAGTATGAGGTAGGTGATGATGTCCATTAATCATACTCCTGTCGGCTGTTAAGGAGTCTGATGGCAGTGGGGAAGTAGGAGTTGTTAAGTCGGAAGGTTCTAGATTAGGTATAGTAATGGACAGAATTTATATTCCTCTCTTTCTATCTCTCATTCCCTCCTGCAGATCATACATGAGCCCCCATCCCATGTTGAGGAAGACAGTTCGGTGAGGAATGCTTAATTATTTTATTTTGCCTTTTTCTACCTGGCTTCAAATCAGTTTTTTTCCCCCCCAGCACAATTCCACTCTCCGACACTAGGTGTTACTTGACATAGACGCCCGAGTGATGTCACTGCTAAATTGTTGTGTTGTCTGTCCCACACAGGCAATGTAATGAAATAGCATCCCGTGAAGGATGTTCTCTGCTTTGTACCCTTTAGGGAAGCATTTCCCTTTGCAAGTATAATTACCAAAGTTCATGTCTCTAGACAAAAAAACATTTTATTAAGGACTAAATTCAAATTCAAATAAATTTGAATCCCAGATCAAAAAAGTACTGGGAGCATAAACTCAAATGGCATCAGGTATTATCTAAGGGCGCTTTTCCACCGCACAAAGTACGGTACTTTCGGTACTTTCGCTTTTCCATTGACTTCCGGTCGAGTACCAGTACCGAAAGTACCAAACCAGCTGGGGTACTTCTTTGGTACTTCGGTACTTTGGGGTGGGACTTGCAAAAGTATTTGCTGCCGATTGGTTATGCAAATAGCCTGCCGCTGAAACACAAAATACAACCACCATCTTTTGAAACACACAGCAAACAGCGAGAAACAAAATAAAAAGCAGTAGAAACAAAAATATAAAAAAGTCAAATGGAAGGATGGACAGACGAGGAAACACATGCTTTAATCGCCATATGGTCGGATAAACAAATCCAGCGGGATTTGGATGGCACGACTCGAAATAAAAAAGTTTTAGCCGTTTCGGGTAATTTGGCGACGGCATCATTTTTTATGCCAGTGGAAAACCGACACGAAAGAAGTACTATACTTTCAGCACTTTATGGAAGTACCGAAAGTACGGTACCTGGTGCGGTGGAAAAACGCCCTAAGTCAGAGGTCCCCAGTCAGATTTCTCCTGGCAGTGAAATTCCATCATCAACACAAAGCCAACAAAAATGCCAAGGTGGAAGCGTGATCAGTCATATGGTCCTGATTCAATTGTAGTTCGGTCTGGATGCAGAATGGAGCCCATGAGTTTGTGAAATAAATTCTCCACTGAGTCAGTTAGATGTGGTACTAAGTCTCCAGTTATTTCAGGCCACTGTTAGTCAGTTAGAATTTGTAGGTTGGTTTAGTTGTAATAGTTTATTTTGGCTGTTAGCCCCACAATGGAACTTGGTTAAACTTAAAAAATTCCATTAGAAGGACGAACTGACTGGTCGATGCTGTCGCCACTGGGTCTGAGCCCAGATTCCATGAATAACAACGTTAACATGACCTAAATTGGACAGCTACAGTATCTGTGGAGATATATAGGCCTACAAGCTTTTCCTAATCCATCTGCTTGTAATTAATGAATTCATTTACTTGCATTCCTAATGACAGCAGATGGTATTAGGATACCATAAAGTACAGTAAAACGTCATCTAGAGACATCAGGAGTTTTAAGTCTGCTTTCAAAAATTTCTGTGTTTTTATGGAAAACACAACCAAGATAATGGAACTGTAGCAATAAAATGAACTGTACAATCTATTCTTTCAATGTCAAGTTGAAGGAAAGAGGAATAATTGCTTGTATAATTATTGAATAAGATGGTGAGTTCTTAGAAGAGCAACAATTTTCTGCTGTAAGTAGTGAGTTATTATTTGGTTGTGTCCTCATACAGAAGGTCCTGCTATTCAATGAGATGAGGATTGTCTCACAAAAAGGTGTGTGTGGTATTACACAATCCGAGGCTAAAGCGGCAATTTCTGCTGCATTAAGATGATAATGACTGAGGAGGGATGAGCAGTGTCACATAAATACCCCGATGACAATGGGCCGGACAGGAGCTGGCGTAGCGGTGAAGGACTTTGGACAAATAGGCTGTAATTTAAAAACCAAGCTGTCACCAAAAGGAACCAGTAATAATAATAATGCAATTTCTGAATGTTATTATGTGTACTCATCATGTCATTAAAAATAATAATACCCCAGACATGACGATGACAAACCTCTTCACATTCAAGTAGTACTCCTGCTGTGATGACATTTAAAATAACCTTACCAAATGTGATGGATTAATTCTAATCTTTGTTGATATTTAGCATACTGCTTAATATGATTAGTAAGAACAATTAATTTCTTACTGGGGAAAATTCAGCTGAATTGAAAATGTGCCTCTTTCCAAATTGCTTCCAAAATAGCAGCAAATTGCTGAACTCTTCGGAAATTAATTCTAAAAACAGGAAATGCCTGAGAATAGAGGCACGTCTTCCAAGACTAAGAAGCACTGAGGAATTCAGCCGTGGTGGAGACCTGGAGCTATTAAATGGATCCTTTTCTTAAAAAAAATAAACCATTCGCACGGATTGATTCTTGGAGGAACAGCTGTTTTGAAGCCATTTCATTCCAGCTACTCTCAGGAGCAGTCGGGTCACAAGACTCACGGCCAAACTGTTTCACTTCCACCTGCTCCTCTCATCCTCCAGCACTCCAGCAGGTTTAGTAACTGACACAATAAATATAATCGACTATTTGGCTTTTTACGAAACATAATGGGAGATGGGGGAGTTTATTCCTGTGTTTCTCTGGTAGATAACAACTGGGAAACCAATCTGTAAAACTCAGTCGGTAATAGATCACATTTTCAGCGTTTTGCACACAGCTGACGGACACGAAAAACATCAGCTCAAAGGAGATATGTGGCATATCACAGCGAAGGAAGGACAACAGAAACAGGGAGACAAGCATAAAAATGGGTTTGCAAACAGCCTCAGACTCCACACGCTGAAAGTCAGACAGACTGAATGTCAGATGCATTTAGCTTTGTCTGCAGCCCTTGGAATATAATCCCCACAGGACTCGCTGCCCTCATCTTTGACTCTCTTTTGTGCCATAGGATGAGGAGGATGAGAGAATGCCCAAGAAAAAATGGCCGATGGTAGACGCCTCCTACTACGGGGGGCGGGGAGTGGGCGGGATCAAGCGGATGGAGGTGAGGGGTGGAAGATGACGACCTGCAAGCGGGGTGGGGGTTTATGGCTTGGGGTTCGAGTCTGATGGCTGTGTTCCACATGCAGGTGCGCTGGGGAGACAAGGGGTCCACGGAGGAGGGAGCCAAACTGGAGAAAGCCAAGAACGCCCGTGTGACCATGCCAGAGTGGGAGCCGGAGGAATTCTCCCTGTGGATGCTCAACAACGGCACACGGAAGCCCCAGACCCCCCGCAAGTGGTACTCCCCTATCAAGGTGGGTGTGGCCATCTCTATGCCAGATCTTCAGTGAAAAACTAAAAACCTTTGCATGTTAGCAGGGTTAAATCATAGCATTTAGTAGATCTAACAGTAGACTTCCAACAAAATGGTGTGAGTTTGAACTTTTCTGAATTACTCCACAAATGGATGTACTGATCTGGTTTGGATGGAGTCTATAGACCAGTAATGCTGTCCAACAGCCCACTTGACAACAACTGAGAAAGTCCACTGGCTAAAATGTAAAAATACAAATAACAAATGACAAATAAATTACATCAAACCATCTATATGACAAGCATGAACGTTAGGGTGGTGTGAAAAAATCAAAATTTCCAATAGCAATTTCCAATAGTGTGGAAAAGTTGTCACTGGACCTCATTATTAAACGTGCAAAATATCTTTGAAATAGGTTCATATTTTCAGGTTCCGCAACGTGATCGAAGTTTTCACCTGTCACATCAATGGGCAATATACACTATCCATTATCTATACTCATCGGTGTTGTGTTTGTGAACTTTCACAACATGATAATCACATGATAATTTTTACTGGGTATCAGCCATACGCATACATTACATCGCTCTGCGGCTCTACGTGCATTACGATTAATCACCTGTCACATCAATGCTCAGATCCACGCTATGTATCATCCATATCATAATGCAATGTAAAATTGTTCCTCAGTGCCACCAAAATGATCTTGTTTTCTCTAATAACCAGGATAGGATTGGAAAATTAGAGGTTTTAGAACCTTTGGACAGTAGTGATCATAACATGGTTAAATTCGAGGTTAATTTTAGTGTCCGAAGAGCAAAGTCAAAATTAAAAGTATACAATGTTAGGAAGGCTAACTTTAATGGTATGAGACTGAAACTAGAAACTGTAAACTGGATTTAAATAGCAAAACAGTTGAAGAGGCATGGGAATTTTTTAAAAGCACATTGTTGCAAGTGCAAGAGGACTTTATTCCTGTTTCCAGCAAAACTAAATCTAGGAAACGACAACCAAGGTGGTTTACTAAGGAAATTAAAAATAAAGTCAGGAGGAAAAGGGCTCTGTCCACAATTGGAAAATAACTAACGATTTCAAAATTAGGCAGGAGTATCTAAGTCTACATGTAGAGTTAAAAAATAACATTAGACTGTCCAAGAGGGATGTAGAAAGAAAAATTGCATTGGAGGCTAAGGATGACAATAAAAGTTTTTTTCCGATATTTTAACTCCAAAAGAGCTCTAAAAGCTGAAATCACTAATTTGCAGGATAGTAAGGGCCTTATAATTGAAAATGAAATTGATATAGTGAATGAGTTTAATGATTATTTTTCATGGGTGTTCACAGTAGAGAACACAAGTAACTTACCACCAGTTAGTACAAATTCAGCGTTGTCTATGACCAATATATGTATAACTGAGGCTGATGGTACTAAGCTTAGCTAAACTCAAAATAAATAAATTGCAGGGCCCTGATGGCATCTTACCTATAGT